ACTAAAATAGTTCTTAAATGTGTTTGTGGCTCATTGCAAAAGAAGTTTTCAGTTGAGTCTGACTCGTGTGGTGCTAGTTAACAGCAGGACGTTCTGCTAAATGCAGGTGTTAATGCTGTTCCAGGGACACAGATGGATCACTCAGCTGATCCCGACTGTACAGCTTTGAGGCCCAGGCAGGTACAAGTGACGCTGAATTCAAACAAACTGCTTTTCTATGTGCCCGACACTCCTGAAGTCTCGTGCCCTACCAATAGCAAGAGTCCAAGCCACAATTCCTATATCCTAGTTTTCATCCACTCACCAAAGAGCCACACCGTGATGGTTTTAGTGTTTTCATACCCGAGAGAATTTGTCATCTTATCAATGAAGTACTGAGTTGTAATGGGTGAGTTCTTAATGTAAGTAGTGAGTTTTTAGATTTCATGGTTCCTTGATTAAATATTAAAGTGTTATTGTTATATACAAATAAGTTCATAGTATTTTCATATTTCATTTACTTAAAATAAATGTTTTAAGAGTTCAGTTTGGACCATTCCACAATGAAACTTGCAAGTTTTTATCCTAGAATACGCATACACTTTGTTGATCCCTTTCCCACTGTGCTCACACTGCTCAAATTATGCCTGGGGCACCTGTAAGCCATCCAGGGAGTACATTTTTGGGTTAGTCTGGGAGAATTCTTGGCAGTGTGTGTTCTTCCCGTCAGACATAACTATATCATTTCTAGTTTCTACATTATTCGAGTGCATTTTTGCACCAAATTTTGGAGTTCTCTTGAAGGAATACTTTTTCTTGCCACTCCTGCAGCTGCATACAGTGCTCACAACTACCCGAGTTCTTGGGTCAAAAACCCTCCTCAGAACAATCCTTAGGTTGTGGGTTGGCCTGGGGGGCATCAGTGGGGTGGGAACAGAGGGTTTATCCCGCATGGAACAGTGATAGCTCAGGCAACCAGTGCCAGTCATGTGCACTTGGCAGTTGTCCATCCAGGCAAGGGAATCTACACTGGATTCAACTCTTCAACTGGAGCTGAAGGGATGTCACCACATAACTGACTGTCCCAATTACAGTTTCTGACACAGAGTGGCAACTATTTTTCATTATTCCAGTGACTATTTATTTAAAGCAATCTGGTTTGACCTCGAAAGAGCTTTTCTCCATCACTGTAGTTGGTGCAGCTGTGTTGAAAGGCTCCTATTTCTGTTTTGAAACAAGATCCTGCTTCCTAAAACCTAGAAAGGAGATTTCCATCCCCACCTCCCCAGGGGACTGGTTATTAGAAGGATCCTTCTGCTGTGCCTGTCCTGCAGCCTCTGTCTTGCAGGAAGCTTTAGTAATGAGCACTTAAACCATGTTATACTGCAGCTGGCTGTGAACCTCACTCCCCAACACTGTTTATCAAATCAGCTCACTTTCAATGCACTTCCTCCTTTCCCTTCTCCAGAATACCCTCTGAATTTGTTTTACCTATCCCTTATTTGTAATTCTCTTCCCAGCAACAGAAGGCTAGAAAACTTGCTGGAAACAGCCCAGTGTTGTCACTACCTGTAATTTATTTTTGAGAAACCATACAGGGGATCATCTGCTTCTCATCCTGACTTCACAAGCACAGACTGAAGACTTAGGTTTTCTTTGGGCAACCATCTTTTTTCAGTCTCTTGTTTTACATATTTTGTTCTCGTTAGGATTTATTGTTGTACAAAAATACTGCTTAACTGCACTTAAGTTCCTATAAGCCAGAAATACGTGTGGAGGGAGACATTCAATGGGTTTGTGTTTCCTTCTTAGAATAAATGTATTCTGTGGGCACAGGCAAACAAAGTGTAATGATTCCTTGAGGAAAGCCATTTGTTTCATATTTATGGAGCTTTTTTATTTTGAACAGTCCCGTGTGGAGATGGATTTTCACACTCAAGGTCAGCCTCAAACACCTTCTGTGTGATGCATCCCTGTAGTTCTGAGTATTACTGTTTCATCTCCACATACAAACCTGCAGGTCAGATTCAAATTCTGTGCTTTGGATCACTCCTCATCAATTCTTTTTATTTACTGTCCAAAAGTACCGCTGTTGCCCTACTCCAGAGAGAGAGAGGATTCCTTTCCTCCTCTCATATTGACATCGACATGAAAAAATTGGTGCAGAAGTTGTCACAAAGCCTGTGTTCAGCCTTCAAGTCATCTAGACCAAACTTTCCAGACCAGCCATGTACAGGTTTCTACACACTTTTTGTCGTTGGGCAACCAATAATTACAGGATCCTCCGTGGTTAGTGTAAATTTTTACTACCTTTGATTTTTAAAAGTGTTGACTGAGAAATCCACTCAGGCCACTTCCTTAAATGTTACACTACGTATTTTTAGGAGGGTGCACATAGATGGTCATAACAAGGCATGTATTTTTCTCAGCAGGCCCTTTTCAAATTTGTATACTTTCTGAACTTTCCTTCCATCTATTTGTTCTGTCTCTCTACATCACAAAAAGAAAGAACTTTCCATTA